TATTTACCTCTCACAGTTAATTATAACGATAATTAAATATTGCATGAGAGATGTTAAATTATCTCCTTGTCAATATACAATGTAATTATAAAATACTGAAGAAAGTCACCAAGAAATCAAACAAAAAATCCAACACAATTGAGATGTAATATCTTGTGTTTTTTGGTAATAACGTCCGTCAAGTGCAAATTACTCTTAATAGCTGAAATGTTGACTGGAGAGAAGAACAATGTTAATTTTAATGGAACAATTGAAAAATTAATGAACTGATTCATTTGATTTCATCTGGAACAAATAGTTATTCAATTATCAAGCTTCATATGTGTTAGGAATACAAACCCAACAAGTTGAGATGTTTACAAGGTATTGCTATTAGTTTACTAGATCAACTCAAATAACCTCTGAAATATTTGATACAAACAATTAATCTATTTTTGTCTCTCTTTCCTTTTCCAGCTTTCCATTTTTTTTCGTTGGACCAGTTGATTATAATAGAGTTTAGTTAACTATTGTACTGATTCTTCCAAAATGATTTACCTGATTAGATGTAAAGAGCAGAAGGTAAGCCAACTAAACAGCTAAACAAATAGCTCTAAAAATTGATAACTTTTTCTTTCCGCTTATCATTTTTTTCTACAGCTAAATTTCAAATTTAAACCTTCAGTTGTTCAGGAACATCATCTCAAGCTCATTGCCAATCATATATTTGATCGGGACTTAATTGCTTCACACTTTGTTTCCCCGAGAAGCGAAAAATTAATGAAAAGATGATCCAAAACATAACAGCAAAACAATAATGGTAACTACGCTAATCGCATTTATACCGTTTTATTTTGCCTTTATTTGTTATAATTTTTATATTTATTTGTTTTTTTATATAGAGACTTGGTTTGACTGAAAAAAAAGTCAATTTATCAATTCGTTGCATTGTTTTCAAGGTCAGAATGAATCCAAAGACTGGTTTCCAATCATGATCATGGTTTATTATCTTCAACAATTACTATTAACCTCATTCTCAGGCCTCTCATCTCAACCAACAACTCTATCGTCTAACTCTCTCATTTCCGTTTCAAACTTTTCTATTTTTGATTTCTTCTCTTCCCTTTTAGCATTGTCAGTAAACTACAATTGAATCAAATTTTCAATTTAGAAAAGGAAAATTATCGAAATTCTCGGCAAGAATATCATGGAAGGAGAAAGTCAACAAGAAAGGAAAGGAAATCTTAACAAGAAATAATCGAATGAACAGCAAATTTATTGTCTTGAAGTCTGTAGAAAAAGAAACCTTCACTTCCAGAAAGATACTTTTCCATTAACATGGTCATCATTTCATCGTTACCTAAAGCAAAACAAGAAACAAATTGTCTTATCAAACGCAGTAAACATCAACAGCAATCATATTCAACACTTTCATAATTAAGATGAAATACTCACAGCTCTAAGGGAAATGACAACTTTCACCCGGCAAGACAAACTAAACCAATTCAAGTCTATTCAAGTTCAAAAATCAAGTCAAATCAATCAATTTAGATGAGAAAATAAACAATCAAAAGTTAACTCATAAAACAGATAAATTTAAATAGGGAAATAAATCTGGAAAACCATTTAAATTGTTCCAATTGATGAATATCCATTCGAAACGGATTTCCAGCTCATGGTGTAAAAATCAAATGAACACAGAAACAAAAATTGCTGTACTAAAGGATCTTGGGGTCAAGCAATCATTCACCTAAAGGTTGAAAAAGAGATAAAGATGAGCATGAAGACGATAAAGTTCATATGATGATAAAATATTGTGTATTTCATTATTATTGTATTGTTTTTGTTTCGGCGTCTTCAACAATCTTTATTAACGTAAGTGATTGCTTGGACCTTATTAACCGCAACACCCTTTAATTAACAGATACCACGGATAATTAGCCCAAAAATAAAACTACAATAAGAGGTAAATAACAAAGAAACAACTACCTCAATTTAATTGACAATCAACAATGGTGAAAAGCTAGCTATTGAAGGCAATGTTATGAAAATATCTTATTACTAGGTCAGACGATCGCTCGCCAAAATCGGAGCGTTAGCGAGATTTGCTTTTTGAGCAATCACAATTTAAATTGGTTGATCTTTACTATGTTCAAGAAAATAGAAAAATAGAAAATCTGAAATAGCACCTAAAGGAAAAGAAAAAATGACAAAAGTTATTACAATTCATTGAATAATCAAGAGAAATATTAGTAGGAATTGATGTTAAAAAATATAAATAAAAAGAAGTGAAGAAAAGTTTAATCAATTGTAAACGTTTAATTACTGAAACAAAATATGGTCACATGAAAAATACTAATACAATGAATGAAAAAGCTGAGCTTAATAGCATTATTAATGGCAATATTGGCATATATACTTGAATTTAAGTTGAAGTTACAAAAATCTGCGTAAAAATATTTTTCTTTGTGCGAGTTGAGGGCTATTAGAAAGGTTATTTATCCGATCTTTAGAAATAACTTGATCAATTATTAAACTTTGCAGATTTTTGACTCTGCTGAATGCAACGTATGATGAACCTATGTCGGATTCAGTATCTCCAATATGAACAACCGCTTGAGAAAGTGTTAATCCTTGAGATTTGTGAATAGTGATTGCGTGTGCGACATTTATTGGAAACTGTCGACGCCATTGCGGTTTTCCTTCTGTTTTCCAGTGTCTTGTTATTGTTGTTATTGGAATACCACGACCATCGTATGTAGGGCCCTTATAATTATCAAACTCAATCATAAGGGCAACTGGAACACTTGGAGGTCGTTTATTATGCTCATAAACAATGGCTCGCAATGTACCAAGAGCCCCATTAACAAGTCCAACTTCAGTCCATAAATTGCTTCGTAACATGACACGACAACCTTTGGTTAATTTCAAGATTTGTTCCAAGGCCTGTGCTTTATCTGATTTTTGTTTTGATGCTAGTTTGCTACTATTAACTGCAGGAATGAGTGCAACTGGATAGCCACTACTTCTCAGAAGATTTTCATTGTACTCATCAGCCATTTTATTCTTAGGTAATAAGCGTATTGCACTTGCAAATTTCGCAAGCTCACGTCTTGAAAGTATACCACTACGTCTTGAATTAAGTATTTCGAACTGGTGGTCAGTCAGATATCCATTAGCAATTCCATCCAATATTCTTCTAAACTGTGCTTGCTCTTGACCAGCCTGTCTGTGATTTGATGTTAACATCAAAAATCTTTGAAAACTGTCCAAAACAATTCTACCTTTATTTGCATTGGTTGAATTTGAATGACTATAAAGAGCATTGTTTTTAACCGGCGGCAGTTGTTGTATATCACCGAAGAAATAAATCAAGTAACCACCAAAGAAATCATCAGCATTTCCTGCAGCTTCTTGCAGTCTTCTTGAAATCTGCCACAACATACGTAGTCCTATCATGGACATTTCATCTACAATGATCAATTTGACCATAGACATCTTCAACTGAAATGTGCGCAATTTTTCGTCAGTGAGAAGCTTGAAATTCTGTGGTGATATCATAAGACCAGAATGCACTGTTTTACCAGAAATATTAATAGCAGCAGCACCAGTAGGCGCCAAAAGCATAACAGAGTCCGAACCAAAATTTTCTCTGAATTCTTGTGTAAGAGCACTTATTAAATAACTTTTACCACTTCCTGCTTTACCTTGTACCATAACTCTTTTTATTTCTGGATCTTTCGATTGTGTAAGAAGGATTATCTGTAGCATGGCTATGTCCATGACTCTCTGTTGATCATCAGAAAGGTTGTATGCTACACGACCAGTTGCATTCGTTGCAACATTGAAGCTTTGTTTCTGTATCGTCATCCAATCGGTTAGAGCTTTTTTTTCTTCTTCAGATACTGAATCAGCTTCCCATTCATGAGCAACATCTATTTCTCTTCTGCCAAGGTTCTGAATTTCATTATTTTGAGGAACAGCTCTTGAAATCGCCATTCCCGGTTCAAGGTGTAAATGAAACTCATCTAGTTCAGGGTCATCTTCGAAAGAGTCTTCTACATCTAACACAAATCGCGGCTCTCCTATCGCATCACGGATATTATTATAAGCTGTTGTCCATGGGAAGTTTGTTGATAAGAATGGCCTAATTATTTCATCCATACTTTGTCTCCAAGGTGTATGTAGAACAGCTTTAATTTTGAAGTATCTTTCATTTTCTGAAGGATTATCAGTCAGCTTAAATTTCGGATAATGTCTTACTATAGCAGGGACTCGGCGTCGCAATATTTTTTTTTGTGAATAGCGGTAATTCTGTGCGAATTCGAAAAGAGTTACATTTTCAAGTTCCCTGTTTCTCTTCTTATAGCGTTCAATGATGGCAGGGTCTTCACAATCCGTCGAACAATCGAGCTTTCTCCAGTTTTCATCTTTTATCACCAACGTAACAAAAGACCGTGAAGAATGAAATAACGGCCATCCCATCATTAGATGTGATATTTCTTGGGCAGAAAAATCACGTTCAGCTGTAGAGCTAACCAAAAGTTTTCTAACGAGTGTAGCAGCTGGAGAGTTTGGATCACTACTTTCAGCCATGTGCTTCAATAATTCTCTATAATCACTTGATTCAGTTTCAGCTTTCGCTGCATACTTCACAATATATAACAAAACAGCTTCTTTTGAAAGTATAGGAGTAAAATCAGTGTTTCCACGCCACGTCTGAGTAACAAATGGATTGTACTTGGCCATGTTTTCGTCATTTCTTTTTGGCTCGAATTTCCAGTTTCTGTCTTTAGCAATAACATCTACATCAGATAGCTCATGCGGAAACCCGAAACGGCAAGCTTCAACGTTGGTTCCTCTTTTTTTACGCAAACAATGTGTACCGTGACGAGTGTGTCTCTGTAAGCGGTTAAGAATTGTTGTAAGATCCTCTGGATCTTCCAAAATCTCTGTAAATCGTTTCCTAGACGGATGTATGTCACTTGGGGCATGTGTTATATCGGGATTCCATGCTCTTGATAATCTCGCGCAAAAATTTGTCAAGTAGGAAAGTTGTTCGTCTGTAACATCGTCAAGATTTTCTAACTTAGGACCATCCTTCAGCCACAAAACTCCATGAATGTGTGGACTTCCTCGCCATTGCCACTCATATCTATACCAATAATCATCTACGTTATAACAGGGTAACAAAACCTCACGAATAAATGTTTCAGCTCTCTTTTGAAAAAACCAAGCCGTAATTAGCGGATTATCATGCATAAGTCTCCGACGATTCGCTTCAATTGATGTGTCAATATTATTCGTGGGATCTAGAATTTTGTATAAATCAGGCCAGTGATAATCTGCTGCTGACAGAGTAAAAAAGATATGTGGAGTAGACAGTTGCTCTACCATATCATGAAGTTCGCCAGATCTTTGAAACCAATAGCTTTTAGATGAACGTAGTTTTCCAGCGTAAAACATAATTGAGTCTGCAAGGTGTGAATCCTCTTTAACTTTTTCCAAAACAGCTTCAGCATCCAAGTTACCGAATTTATTTCTTTTCACATAGAGATTTCCTTGATTTATAGCTTGCCATCTCATAATTGAATTGAAAGCGAAGAACCTGAATCTCGAATCTTTGGCGAATCTACCGTCTTTGTACTGCATTAAAAACTTGAAGTACTCCACAAAACTTAACGACTTTACATTCCTGCTCTGCTTAAAATCTGCTCTACCATATGGAAATAAGGTGGGGAAAGCTTGTGTAATGTAGCCCTCTGTTCTGAACTCACTTATCGGGTCAGGACGAATATGTGGCCAATCAATACTATCAGTTGCATCTCGAACTTTACTTTCTTGATTCATTTGTGGTATGTGAGGAAAATTAGATTCTTGCATCAACTGCATTTCATCTGATTGCGACCCATCCTGGCGAGAATCTCGATTTAAATTCGGCAAAAGTTGCATTATGTTGCCATTTTCCGGAAGCTGGGATAGTTGTTCATCATCTATTTCGATGTCATGGTAGTACATGTGATTTCTCTTTAGCCAACAAAGAGCTTCTCTTACTTTTGATGAACGAACTTGAAATGAAGCTATTCCATCTGGTGTATCTCGATTTACAATTATGATTCCACGTAGGTCTTTTGGGTTGACTGGTAGTTTTGTATGTAGATTAGTTATGTCTTGCTCAAAATTGACAACATGACCACTGTATCCAAATTGTTGGCCTCTGATTTTATAAAGACGAACAACGGGATGAACTTTCGCTATCAACATCTCTTCAACCATCGTTAAATTTTTGAGTACTTCAGGCTGCTCTCGAGGGTCCATAAAATTAGCATCCGTATAAAGATCAGGATTTTTGACGCACTTATTGCACCAATTTTGCGAATCCAGTCCATGAACACTAACAGATGTAATTGTTAAATTGAGAAACCTCCTTTTACAGTGCTCACAAAAATTCCAGTCATTTTTTTCAATAATACGATCAAACTTCACAGCTTTTCTTAGCCATGCTGCTGGGTAACACTGATTAGCTGGTGTCATATTGTATGGTATGTCAGGATAAACGAAACGTTTAGATGTATAGTTCACTAAATAGTTCCAATTTATAGATGAAGGAGGTTTATAAATGATTGTTTCATCAGAGGAAGAATGTTCTATTTCTATATTTTGCTGCATTTCATTGACTTGGATCTCACTTGTAACACTTGAGTCCGACGAATCACAATTAAATAAGAAAAGAGGCCGATGATAATCCCCGTAATCGACACGCGGAATGGCAAAATTCTCAGGAGAAGAATCTCTTGATGATGAACCAGTACCAATTACAGATGGGCCTGCAGTAGAAGGTCCGGCCGTTTGACTGTTTGATATCCGAGTAGCACGAATTCTCCTCATTGCGATTTTTTGAACATTTGAACGTGTGTTAACACTCTGACGTTTCAAACGCATTGTTAATTGAATGAAAGTTGGATGCCTAAAATAACGAAAAGAAAAAAACAATGAATGAAAACTGTGCAATTGCGTTATATATTGGAGCTGGAATATGTTGATAATTACGATAGTTTTGAGTCTATTAAATCAGAAAAAATAAATGATTGATCAACAATTAACTTTTGTAGAATACATACTTATTTTATTTATAGCTGCAAGTTAAATGCAATGTCAGAAGAGTTTAAAAATCTGTTGAGTAAAAAATAAAAACATTAATGACATTGTTCAAAATTAAGATGATGAATCGATTAACAAAGAACTGCAACCAAAGCACACAGTGAAAGACCAGGGATTTTGCACAATTCTCCCTAGTTCAATTCACTTCAACTCTCAAATTTCAGACAAGCTTAAGCTAACGTCAATTAACTAAATAACCTCTTAATTTTCCTAAAATTGACGTTAGGTTCCCCTACACCATACACCTTTCTCTACTCAAGTCGGAGAGCTAGCTCAATCCGGATTCTGGCAGGCCGTAACCTGAAATGCTCATTCATACTCATACTCCAGGGAACGACATAGGCTCGCCTTGTCCCTGGTTCAACAACCGCCATCCTACCTGTAAAGAAAACAATGATTAGTAGCAAATATATTTTTCGAATGATTTGTATAGTACATTTAAAACACATTATTAATTTTAAAACAAGTATTGGCATCTCTCTATTTAGTTTATTTCAACTAACGCTAATTTGCTTATCTAAAAGAACCTGATTTATATGCATAATTATTCTGTGTCTAATGTGTATCATAAAATGACTTAATTTGGCACTTGAAAATTTAAATGAAGGCTTCTGAATATTTCATTGAAATTGATTTTCCTAACTCCTAATAGATCAGAAAATATAAGTTAACATGGGGCCTATGGGAGACATCCATGTACACTTAAAAAAATAACTTTCTCTTACCTTTTGGAGATGTTTTTACTATTGTCTTAACCGTCTTTTAAAGCTGAATTTGAAGGTGTAAATACAATAAAATAATTCCTAATAGATCAGAAAATATAAGTGATTAAAATATTTTTTTTGGTTAACATGGGGCCTATGGGAGACATCCATGTACACTTAAAAAAATAACTTTCTCTTACCTTTTGGAGATGTTTTTACTATTGTCTTAACCGTCTTTTAAAGCTGAATTTGAAGGTGTAAATACAATAAAATAATTCCTAATAGATCAGAAAATATAAGTGATTAAAATATTTTTTTTGGTTAACATGGGGCCTATGGGAGACATCCATGTACACTTAAAAAAATAACTTTCTCTTACCTTTTGGAGATGTTTTTACTATTGTCTTAACCGTCTTTTAAAGCTGAATTTGAAGGTGTAAATACAATAAAATAATTCCTAATAGATCAGAAAATATAAGTGATTAAAATATTTTTTTTGGTTAACATGGGGCCTATGGGAGACATCCATGTACACTTAAAAAAATAACTTTCTCTTACCTTTTGGAGATGTTTTTACTATTGTCTTAACCGTCTTTTAAAGCTGAATTTGAAGGTGTAAATACAATAAAATAATCCTAATAGATCAGAAAATATAAGTGATTAAAATATTTTTTTTGGTTAACATGGGGCCTATGGGAGACATCCATGTACACTTAAAAAAATAACTTTCTCTTACCTTTTGGAGATGTTTTTACTATTGTCTTAACCGTCTTTTAAAGCTGAATTTGAAGGTGTAAATACAATAAAATAATTCCTAATAGATCAGAAAATATAAGTGATTAAAATATTTTTTTTGGTTAACATGGGGCCTATGGGAGACATCCATGTACACTTAAAAAAAATAACTTTCGCTTACCTTTTGGAGATGTTTTTACTATTGTCTTAACCGTCTTTTAAAGCTGAATTTGAAGGTGTAAATACAATAAAATAATTCCTAATAGATCAGAAAATATAAGTGATTAAAATATTTTTTTTGGTTAACATGGGGCCTATGGGAGACATCCATGTACACTTAAAAAAATAACTTTCTCTTACCTTTTGGAGATGTTTTTACTATTGTCTTAACCGTCTTTTAAAGCTGAATTTGAAGGTGTAAATACAATAAAATAATTCCTAATAGATCAGAAAATATAAGTGATTAAAATATTTTTTTTGGTTAACATGGGGCCTATGGGAGACATCCATGGACACTTAAAAAAATAACTTTCTCTTACCTTTTGGAGATGTTTTTACTATTGTCTTAACCGTCTTTTAACGCTGAATTTGAAGGTGTAAACACAATAAAATAATTCCTAATTGATCAGAAAATATAAGTGATTAAAATATTTTTTTTGGTTAACATGGGGCCTATGGGAGACATCCATGGACACTTAAAAAAATAACTTTCTCTTACCTTTTGGAGATGTTTTTACTATTGTCTTAACCGTCTTTTAACGCTGAATTTGAAGGTGTAAACACAATAAAATAATTCCTATTGTCAGAAAATATAAGTGATTAAAATATTTTTTTTGGTTAACATGGGGCCTATGGGAGACATCCATGGACACTTAAAAAAATAACTTTCTCTTACCTTTTGGAGATGTTTTTACTATTGTCTTAACCGTCTTTTAACGCTGAATTTGAAGGTGTAAACACAATAAAATAATTCCTAATTGATCAGAAAATATAAGTGATTAAAATATTTTTTTTGGTTAACATGGGGCCTATGGGAGACATCCATGGACACTTAAAAAAATAACTTTCTCTTACCTTTTGGAGATGTTTTTACTATTGTCTTAACCGTCTTTTAACGCTGAATTTGAAGGTGTAAACACAATAAAATAATTCCTAATTGATCAGAAAATATAAGTGATTAAAATATTTTTTTTGGTTAACATGGGGCCTATGGGAGACATCCATGGACACTTAAAAAAATAACTTTCTCTTACCTTTTGGAGATGTTTTTACTATTGTCTTAACCGTCTTTTAACGCTGAATTTGAAGGTGTAAACACAATAAAATAATTCCTATTTGTCAGAAAATATAAGTGATTAAAATATTTTTTTTGGTTAACATGGGGCCTATGGGAGACATCCATGGACACTTAAAAAAATAACTTTCTCTTACCTTTTGGAGATGTTTTTACTATTGTCTTAACCGTCTTTTAACGCTGAATTTGAAGGTGTAAACACAATAAAATAATTCCTAATTGATCAGAAAATATAAGTGATTAAAATATTTTTTTTTGGTTAACATGGGGCCTATGGGAGACATCCATGGACACTTAAAAAAATAACTTTCTCTTACCTTTTGGAGATGTTTTTACTATTGTCTTAACCGTCTTTTAACGCTGAATTTGAAGGTGTAAACACAATAAAATAATTCCTAATTGATCAGAAAATATAAGTGATTAAAATATTTTTTTTGGTTAACATGGGGCCTATGGGAGACATCCATGGACACTTAAAAAAATAACTTTCTCTTACCTTTTGGAGATGTTTTTACTATTGTCTTAACCGTCTTTTAACGCTGAATTTGAAGGTGTAAACACAATAAAATAATTCCTAATTGATCAGAAAATATAAGTGATTAAAATATTTTTTTTGGTTAACATGGGGCCTATGGGAGACATCCATGGACACTTAAAAAAATAACTTTCTCTTACCTTTTGGAGATGTTTTTACTATTGTCTTAACCGTCTTTTAACGCTGAATTTGAAGGTGTAAACACAATAAAATAATTCCTAATAGATCAGAAAATATAAGTGATAAAAATTCGTAATAGATTTTCGCACAAAGTGACTGGTCTATGGTTATACATTTAAATCTAGATGTCGCTTTGGCTATATCCACTTCCGGCCTCTGAAAAGCGCGAATTTCGAATCTCCAATTATAAAGCTTAATTTTTGGATCCGCAAATCTTGGATGATCTGACTTTATTTTCAGTTGAAATTAATAAATCGACAACTAAAACTACTACATAGATGGTTCTTCGTGTCAGTGATGATCTATATGCAAAAAAACATTTTTCATCTTCAAATGACCTCAGTAGGTCAAAGGTCAAATTCCCGAAAAATGACCTCCGATGACCTTGAAAAGTTGATACAGCCAGCGACTCGTTATTAACAGTCATTACAGAAAGTATGAAGTTGTTACGAGCTTTCGTTCATGAGATATCGTGTTAACAGCAAAACAAAAAGTGGATTTTCAAAATGGCATATCTGAGTAAAAATCTTCACTTCGTTTCACTACGCTCCGATAAATAATCATTCAAATTCACTTTTCACAACCATCTTAAATCAACTGAATCAACATTGGAGCTTAAAAATCGAGAAATTTATCATAGAAAAAACTAATTTAGAAAATAATAAGTAATCAAATTTACAATCAACTGAATTTTCCTCTTTCGAGGTAATACTGAAAAAAAAATCACCTCACAACTATACTCAAGTATTTGTACAAAGCTGAAAAAAATTAATAAAAATACAGTCAACTCCTTTGCTTATTGCTATATTTTAGACAATTTCACTCTTAGGCAAAAACTGCTTGAGACGAAATAACCTTCACATTAAAATATCAGGTTTTACGCCATGTAAATCAATATGGAGTATTTCATCGCATTCAATATTCCAGTGTAACAAGTTCAAGTTAATAAATTAATGGCGAGAAAAATCAAAAATCAAAATAGGCCTTTGATCCATTCCATACAAAAAGAAGTGAAAAATCTTCAAATTCACTAATTAACTATATAATCTAACAAAATACATTTCCTTCATGTGATCATCTCTGGTAGTATAGTGGTTAGTATCCTCGCCTGTCACGTGAGAGACCGGGGTTCGATTCCCCGCCAGAGAGATTTATTTTTGTCTTTTATTGGGTGTTTTTAGACGCATTTAATGACTTTTAGTGCCTATTGTTTTTGTTCATTAACGTCTTGTGTTGCCTAAATGGCTAGAGATTATTTTGGTCGTCACCTCTCACCTAGAAATGACTCTGGTTAATGTTAACCCAAACTGAAATCTGTAATCTCTATCGAGGAAATAATTGCTCTGATCAATGTTAATTACATTTGTGCTTGTAAACAAAAACATTTGTTGAAATGTGTTACAGGAAGTTTTGATTACTATCAATTGTCATCATAATGGCTATGATATGGTTACAAGTTTAAATATTTTTTTACCGGCAGTTTCCATCTTTAGTTGTAACCCAATATTGACTTTGACTGGAGAAATAATTTCAGGTAAAAAAAAGTAGATTTGATGAGCTTATTATTGTATCGAGTAAGATTATTGGTTAATTAGCACTTCAAGTTTAAGTTGCTGATGATTAATGCATTTTGTTTTGATGAGAGTTTAAACGTGAGTCTAATTGCTGTTCAACTTGCCTTTTTAAATTGTCATATAAATCTAAATATC